GTAGATTTTCTACATTGATATGCTATGAAGATTAACAAGGTAATTGATATCCGTTAAATGTGCTTGTTCTTTGATTGAATGCCTTTGTATTTTATTTTGTTCCCTCTGAGTGCTGCTGAATGTGACTAGGGCCGAGAGCTTGTCAAGCCGTCTATCGCGGCTTTTATTCTCGGCCCCATCATTACCTGTAACGGGAAATGAAAATAAAGCTTATTATTATATTATATTATTAAGTAGAAGCTGCCGCTTCCCAGGAACCAGGGGCCCTATGTTGCGCTTTTTGTACTCCCACGGCGACTATAGGGAGAAGGAAGTGACCGTAACAAAACAGCAAACGCAGATTGGATGTTGATTGGTGAGAGTCGCTGATGACAAATTTCCGCAGAAGAAAACAAAAAAAAAGTGAGCTTTGTTCTCTTCTGAGGAAATTCGTCATCAGCGACACTCACCAATCAACATCCAATCTGCGTTTGCTGCGTTGTTGACGCCACTTCCTTCTCCTGAGTCGCCGTGGGAGTCCAAAAAGGTCAACATAGGGCCCCTGGGCTCAGATTGAGGCACCGCCGTCGCCCGGTGTTTCGTCCTCTCAACGTCGTCGTTGTTGTGTTCTTTATTTATACGCGTATATTTGTATAGATAAAATAAGATATATAAAAATACACACAACCGAATGGCCAGCGGCGCGCCGTTCTAGTTATTTCTAGCTATACACGCCTGAAAGAATTTTGTTCAGTTTGCATCTGTAGCCGAGCTAAAACATTATGTATACAGGCAAATTCAAAGGAAAATATATACAATGCAAGTGTTTCTGACCCTACATAAGAATTGCTTATATTTGAAATCCAGGGCACAAATTTTGGTTGTAAACACCTAATTATTATATAGTCATATTATAACCGCCCCATTCTTAGTCAATATGCTGTCGAAAACGCATCGTACAAATCTTTTCTTTTGATAAGCCTATTTAAAGGTACCCTGGCCGCAAGCTTCTTGGGGCACGGCGGAGTACTAACTTTACAGGGGTAAAAAGCGGGCCGAGTTTGAAAGTCTCGAGGAATAAAAAGGATTAATTAAAATATTGAAATTTTAACTGCGGTGTGTGCTATGAGTCGGCAGCTTTTATATTGCTCGGGAACTTTACGATTCTTCACTTTAGTGAAAAGAAATTTAAAATTTTGTCAAAGTGGCCCTTAGAACTCGATGAAACAATATTATATCGGGCACAGGAATAAAAAGAATACAATTTCGAGGTTTAAGAGGTATTAAATAAGAGTGTATTAGTGCCCTCTATAGATATCCCGGAAAACTTAAGGATTTCTGCAGCAGTTTGGCTGAAATTATCATTGTACTGCGTTTTTCTGAGAATAGCCAAAAGAGGGCGCAAGGAGCCCTTGTCCAGGAATGGTGGGGATGTGGCGGCCCGCGGCTTTGGCCTTTAGTCCATCGTGGGATGAGACCAAGTATAAAAGTTTGGATAAGAGGCATTAAAACATCTGCTATTAGCTGTATATAATCAGGCTAGATCAATTGTGCATGAAAAAAATGAGCATTTTATTAAAAGGGTTCAAGAACGTCTTGGCATTGCCAATTCGATGTTCAGAGTCGCTGTTTATCTTCAAAATTTGTTTCAAACTGGTTCACGTGTTCTACAAAGCCACACAATTAGTCGAGTGCACAATTTTTCATCGATTCCTTAAAGAGTCTCTCAACATGATTGGTCTGAATGTAGTGTACTTTAAGGTGACCTCGTGCTTCACTTGGGGCACAATAACTCCCGTGATATTCAGCTCACATTCTTACTGTGGAAACCTCGGCACACAGTGGCCGGTGCCCTCACCGATGACATTAACTTTGTGTGTGTTGCAAGTACAGATCACTGACCGTTGCAACAATGCCAAGCAGGTCCTCTTCCTTCATTGTAGCATTGTCGCACTATAGAGTTTGCCGGAAATGAGCTAAGAAGGAAATGCTAATGGAAGAAAGCCACCGCTGAAAATAAGTCTTCCATGTTGCGGTTATACCGTCACATTCAGAGCTTTGGTTGTGGCGTGGCGCTTACACCATTGTTGATAACAATTTCCCCATTGGTCTCAGTTCGGCCCAGGAGATGAGTTGGCAAAATCACGCTTCAAATTTGTTTGCGTTCGTCTCCTCGTTTTGTGTATGTTCTTTTTTTTAATCTACGGAAGACACTCAGGCAGCCTGCAGCAAAGAATGTCATCTTCTGCATAAGCGACTGTTACTCTTTGTTCCTGAGCCCGGAACTCAACTCGCACATGACTGCCAGGCTTGCTTACATACACTTTTGTCGGTGAATACTTCAACAGTTTTAGTGCCGGCGCTCACTCAAGTTTGACGTTCGACATATATCGTGCTGATCTCTGTTTAGTGTTTCCTGGGCGTCTGATATCCTTTCGTCACTACTGGAGGATGATCTCCTTTTCCATTAGAGAAGAATGGAGGCTCTGTCTCAGCTTCTCGAAGCCTAAATTACATCAGCAAACAATACAAATCTTTGCAGGCTTAGAAATTGGCGGCAGTTCTACCCTTTTTCTCAAATCAGTGGCGCTCTTCTTCAATGTTGTGATCTCTTCACAAGAAAAACTTGTGGTTGTAAATTACAACAGTGTGATGCACGTTAAATGCCCCAACCGAGTAGTCGTACTACACTGGCAAAATTTCTCATCTACGGCGTGTAACCATGTTGCCAAAAACTGGCAGACTAAACTCTCGCTCCCTAAACATCAAATGACAAGATTTATCACTGAACTTTTTTTCCGAGGGAAAATGTATTGACAGGTACTCACAGCCGCCTGAATGATAGCTATAGGTTGCCCTCTTCTGTCATTTACCACGCTGAAGCGTCACTGACCGAGTGTTTATAGCTTTGTTCCCACGTTCTAGAGTACATTTTGTTTTCGTAGATGGAACTAAAATTTCCACCTTTAGCACAGGCACAGGAGTTAGCAGCCTCAGATTCCTTTTTAATCTCGCGGTACTGCCTGCGCATCCAAGAATTCCCGTTTAAAACCTGCTTTACCCTTAGGAGAACCACTAGATTGTCGTCTCTGGCTGGGCAAAATATTTCCCTTCACATCGCGTTTACATTTCTTAGTTCATTAGATTAGTGTCACTTGTATTAGAAATACTTTGATTCATGTTGCCTAAAATAACAAGCTTCGACAAGCTTAACAATGCTGACATTTGTGACAACTTATTTATTAGGACAACCTTGCTCATCACATTTGCGGCAGCGTGGTGCCCTTAAGCACACACGGAAATGCAGTTTTTTTTTAATATATCTTTTGTGAAGACATTTTACGAAAAGCTTTCGGGCGGTCGGATATCAATTTTATACCAATCGCCTGCAATGGGAAATTCGCATGGTGATAGATATACTTGGCCTTATTTTAATAAACTCTTCACATGGCCAGTCGAACTTATACTTAATACGTATATTCCTTTGCAATCAGCCAGCATCAGCCGCGCCCTTGGGCGCTAGCTGTCTCGAAGTTTTATCTTTCCTGGTGCAACCCTTCCCGTTAGGGAGACAACAAGTCACGTGCGCGCCCCGGTCGGCCTCCTGTTGAATCCACCGATTTCGGCGGGAGCGGATTTTGTAGCGATCCTTTGCAGATTTGCAGGCTGCGTCACCGAAAACGACGTCTTGTAAGGTAATCCGTTAATTCGGGTTGATCCAGATTGCTCGTGGGAAACATGCGTTGCCGGAAAGTCAACCTGAGATCACACAAAAACGGGCCGCCGAATTTGCGAGATGACTTAGTCTGTGAAGTGATTTCGAAAATTCGTGTGGTGCAATCAGCCCCCGATCCACGATGACGACTCCCCGGGAATGTTTGGTTGCATTTAGAAGGCGCAAGGAGACATCGAGGCCTCTCAAGCATCTGCCACAAAGCGGAGGAATTGAGTCGGGAAAGAATTTCCATTTAATTTAGCGGGAAATTTAGCGAAAATTTCCCGCTAAATGGAAGGGGAGCAGGAGAGGAGGAGGGGAGGGTACGGAGGGAGTGGAGGAGCATACCCTTTCCTCCGTACACTCCCCTCCTTCTCTCAAGAGCTGCGCTCTAATTTGGCATTACAAAGAATTGTGAATATGTCTTTCGCTTTTTTTAATAAGGAAATTGGCCGCGCGTCGTTACGATTTATGAATTTCTAGGATGCTTACACCTCGCAGAGTGAGTTTTCGCCATATTTAGGCGATTTCAGAAACATCCTCAGTGCACATTGAACATTATAACTACTTTTTATTAAATATATTTTTGAAAGAAGTAATATAATCACACATGAAACTCATTACAGTACAAACATTTAATGGTTTTATCTGGAGTATAACATGCTCAAGTCAAACTTAAGATGTATGTGCTTTTTCGTTGACTGGAGTGCTGAAAAACTGCAAAGCCCTTGGTGAAATCGTGCGCAGAAAAAGAAAGTGTGAGACAAAAAACTTGCTTATTAACAAAGTGACACTTGATTACTATACGATATCTTTGTTTCAAAATAATCATAACGTTCTTTTTTTTCTTAACTTGGTATAATTTTGATATTCGTACCCAAACTGCAAATGTGCCAGTGGGCCTTCGATTTACATGCGCCTCCTCCACCAGCTGCACTCGGCGCGCGCTGCCGTATTCAATTTAGAGGTGCAGCCTGTCTCAAAACACAAACGAAAGTACGTTGCTTAGTTATTTAGTCAACTGGCTGCACTTTTTTTTTGCACGGGTGAATGGTTGTGCAGGTAAATCAAACCAGCCCAGTGTCTGCTAACACTCCAGAAGGGCAGACGTGTCTACGAGTTGTTGCTCTCATCAACGAGGTCCAGATTGATCCGATTTCAGCCCATTTCGCTTTCTGGCGAGGAATAATTACACATTTATTTCTGTTTGATCGCGCGTTGTGGTAGGGAGGGGTGCGTAGCAGCTGTGAACGGAACTACGCCGCACAGAGTAACGCGTGTCACCCTAAACCGACTTAAGACTTACGGGCCGCTAGAATAAAAGAGAATGCACCTGGGTTCCCAGCAATCTCAATGTTTTTGGTGCGGTATACTTTTAAATGAAACCCGGCATTAGTCACTGCTCCTTTAATCAGATCCTCGCTGAGGTCCTCCGCATTAACGCCGATATTTTTCGGAAAGAAACTCTTCACACTACTCATACCGCCCAGGAGGAACAAGCCGCCGGGTTTGACGAGTGATCCGACGTTGTTAACCACACTTCGGAAGGATTCGTGGTCCGCCGTGGCACTTTCCAGGCAGTTGCAGGAAAGAACGACGTCGAAGGTTTCTTTGTGTTCTTCGGGGAGCACTCCAGGTTCCAGGACATTGCAGGGAACCACCTTCCGGATGGAGAAGCGTGTGCGCTCCATTATTTCCGACGCCCCCTTCTTGACGTCACTGTGAAGCAGAACAAGGAAGATGCCATAAGCCTGTATTTTGCTACGATGCCTGACATGATGCTTGAGGACATATTGAAAATCTCTGGGCTGAGGTAATTTGTTTTAATAATAATAATATTTTGCGTTTTTGTTTAGACACCTTGAGGCCAGTAAACCTCAATTGGCTTCTGATCCTCTGTATATGAGAAATTTAGCCAGTAATGTACCACGGCTAGCCTGAGGCCTTTCCCGTGCATCACGCAGTTATGATAACCTACCACACGCCGGTGCGATGCTCATTTATATCGAAACGGGAAGGAGAGGAAATTGAAGGGGATTTTTTAAAGGTTTCTTGAGCATGAATATTGTCACTAGACGACTCCGAGAGTTTCCTAGAAGTCCTGCTTGGCACATATGGCCGCTTCATTTAGGGCAAAACACGATTATACTGTAGGGGCGAACATATTTAACTATATAGCTTGGAAACTACCATAAAGTGATTCAAACTCAGCCTACACCATCGTCATAATTAACATAAACTAAAGTTTTGTTCGAAGAAATTCAAATGATACATAATTATGGCTTAGTAAGGAATATTATTGGGAATTTAACAACCAGTGTTTTCTCGGTGGCGAAGGCAACTCTTGAGCTGATGCTTGCATACTTCTTTTGATAAGTTAGCTGCAGGAAACTCCTTTGGATTACGCTCACGGAAGAAATGCTTGTACGTAGAAAGAGTCTTTTACCTGGTACATTAAAGACAATCTTAGATCCCAGGTCAAACATTCTCCCAAAGTGAAAACAAATTACTTAATGAGAAAACCATTAAAAGGAATACAAAAGGTTTATACTCAAAATTTCTACACACTGTTCAGACACAACCGATGGTATCGTCAATACATGAGACACTCGACCGCTTTTACATTCACCCCGCATGTTCACCGCAACAACGAAGAGTCGAGTAATACAATTGTTGGACAGAAAAGAAATGTGGCTGTTTTTCTCAGGGTGGTGCCGCCAATGTTTGCCCCAACAGCGCACCGGAGTTAGCCAATATCTGAAGCGTGCTGCAGATATTGTTAGCGTTGGAAGCCATCTGTCACTTCACAAGTTGGACGCAACTCGATTATTCGTCGATGGATGTAGATTTACCAAGTGCTAGCGATTAAGTCACCGAGTGATCACGTTTTATTTGTGAGCCACAATCAACCCTCTGGACAAACATGTTCGATTAAATATTAAGTTAATAAGGAATTTTACGATGAGAAAAATATGATTTACCTTAATACTTCGCGTTAATCTGATTGACACAGAATGCTTAATGTGTTCCGAGTCAAGCTGTTTGAGTTTGTTTGAAACTGCTTCACAAGTTTTGCAAGTTTAATTCTTAGGACCTTTTGTTAGGGATATCGACAGAAAGATGGAGCGCTTTTTTCTTCAGTCGGCTTTTTCCGAAGTATTATGGTGAGATAAAATGTTTTGCGACTGACCAATCACGAGCCACCCATCTGCTCTTAAGCACAGCCAAGGCGTTTCGTGCTATGCTACGTAAGTGGCGTGTTTTTTTACGCCATCCGTTACTATGGGCCACGTTGTCACGTTATTTGTGCAACCGTGACCACATGACGTCATGCGATAATGCAAAATACCGTTACGTGATCAGTTTAAATGACACTATGGTATGCGACATAATGAATTCATGTCACGAGGCGTCACGTAAATATAGTCTATGTGATATCATAGCCTATAAGAAATACTTGCTCACGTAGCCATTGGTATACCTACGTGATAACGTGACCCCACATAACACCTGCGTACGCTGGAACAACATATCGTCTTGCGGAAACAAACAGCTCTGACCAGTAGTCATCCTATTCGCTCAATTGGTCAGGTGAAGAGTTTCAGACAACAGAGCCTCAGGTTCGTACTGCGATTCCTGGAGAGGCACAAACTGTTTTTCTAAAGAAGCCCGGTGGAACCACAATGGGAGACCATAGTTTCGTCAGGTTTTATATCGTTAGACATGGAAAATAACCCTAGAACGTTTTCTCTAAAATTAAATGCTCATCAAGAGTTTTCTTCTTTAGACTTCACGGCGGACGTAATTCTGGCTCCCTACCCCAAGTGCTCGTTCATGTGTTCCATTATTCTACGCGAAGTAAGAAATATTAATACCCCCAAACATTCGTGTCTTTTTTTGTGTTGATGTATATACCTATAGCCTTCCAAGGCAGCGACTTGCTCGGCACGGTCTGTCCAATCGATGGCATCTTCGCTTTTGTTCAGCCACTTCTCCAGCTCCTTCCTGTTGTCTTCGACCAAGTCACTGAGCACGATGTCCTTGTATCGATTAGAGGACATGAAAGAATACCAGACCAACGGTCCGACGCCCACCTCCAGGAGAGTCTTGCCCTGAGCCAAATCTGTGGAAGGCACATGAGAGTTACTTTTTGCTCCAGCTCACTTCTGAACACACACCGATTTAACATTTCTTAAGAATTTTTTGAAAAATGCTCCCTCTATTTTGCGGTTATGATTCCTGAATCTTCATATTCATTCTCTTCTTCAGGACAGACACTGGACACTTCGCGCAATCCAAATTCATTTAAGAAAACAGGTTTTCGCTCCTATCGCTTTGACGAGAGCTATCGCTGACGTCACATGGGGAACTTTGATTATTTTAAAGAATCTGCATTTGAACGGAGCGTGAACTATCACAAAAAGATTATGTTGTTTCCGTCTGGTGTATTTGAGCTTTTATTTTGCGAACTAGCGAAAACGTTTTAATTACTCGTCTTTTTTAGAGCGCAGCTCTTAATCACCGGTTTCCGGCTTGAGCGGCGTCGCCATCGGCGTCGGCGTCGGCGTAACCGCGCGGTGCATTGTGAGAAACGTCCCATAATTTACCGCGCCGAAACGTCACGCGACATTTCGGCATGGTGATGTTTCCGCACCGTGCCGAAACGTCACGGGTGAAGCTTCCGCATGAGATTTCCACCGATACGTCCCGGTGCCGAAACGTCGCGAGTGACGTTCCGGCACGGTGAGGTTTCGGCACGGTGAAGTTTCCGCACGGTGCCGAAACGTCACGGGTGAAGCTTCCGCATGTGATTTCTACCGATACGTCACGGTGCCGAAACGTCGCGAGTGACGTTCCGGCACAGTGGTTTCGGCGCGGTGAGGTTTCCGCATTAGGCCGAAACGTCGCGAGTGACGTTCCGGCACAGTGGTTTCGGCACGGTGAGGTTTCCGCACGGTGCCGAAACGTCGCGTGACTTCACCGAAACGTCGTGTGACGTTTCGGCACCGCGCCGAAACTTCGGATGACGAAACGCGTTTCGCGTGTGAAAGAAGGAGAAGGAGAGGGTACTGATGAGGAGAAGGGGTATACCACCCCTCAGTACCCTTTCCTCCTCCTCCCCAAGAGCTGCGCTCTAATTCGGCGTTACAGGGAGTTGTAAACGTCTGTCTTTTTTTATTTCTTTTGCCTTACAACGAATATTTTATTTATAGATTTAAAGGTAGACCGGGATGCGGTCTGACCCCGTCATGAAATATTGATTTGAAAAAAAAAATTATTAATAGGTGTTACGGGACGAGAAGTGTCACCCTTGCGCATGGCTTAGATTGGAGTCAAAGCCGGCCAAGTGCAATATGTGATGTATCCCTCCACCCTCTGCCGGCTGCGATAACGGCACCATTTTCAACCTAAATTTCGGTTTGGAACCGTGTACATGGGCGACATTTCTCGTCAATTAGCATGCACCACAATATTTTCATCAAACTTTCACGGTATTGAGCTCCAGCGTCAATTCCCCATACACATTATATCACTCAAAATTGAAAATAAAGAAAGAAGAAACATTTAACGGGTGAAAATTATTGTGCCTATAATACCCAGGTAGCACGCCAGAGGAATGCCCAACTTGGGCAAAGGTCTGGCAAACATAAGGGCCCAACTTTGGCGCAGTTAGGTTTTTGCACCATGGCACTCATCAGTGCCAAAGTACGGTGCCTAAGTATAGCCTTAGTTGGGCGATCCTAGGGCATGCCAAAGTTTGGCTCTTCTCTGGTACGCCAGAGGAGTGCCAAAGTAGGTGCCATACTTGAGCCATAACTGCCATAGTAAATCCTAATCCGGGAATGCGGGGCGTGCCAAGGTTTGGCGTTTCTCTGGCCCGCCAGAGGAGCGCCAAAGTTGGTGCCATACTTCAGCCATAACTGCCAGAGCAATGCCTAATTTCGGTGTTTGGGACGTGCCAAGGTTTGGCGTTTCTCTGGTCCGCCAGAGGAGCGCCAAAGTTGGTGCCATACTTCAGCCATAGCTGCCAGAGTAACGCCTAATTTCGGTATTTGGGACGTGCCAAGGTTTGGCGGTTCTCTGGTCCGCCAGAGGAGCGCCAAAGTTGGTGCCATACTTCAGCCATAGCTGCCAGAGTAACGCCTAATTTCGGTATTTGGGACGCACCAAAGTTTGGCTTTTCTCGGGTCCGCCAGAGGAGCGCCAAAGTTGGTGCCAGACTTGAGCCATAACTGCCATAGTAAATCCTAATCTGGGAATTCGGGGCATGCCAAGGTTTGGCGTTTCTCTGGTCCGCCAGAGGAGCGCCAAAGTTGGTGCCATAATTCAGCCATAACTGCCAGAGCAACGCCTAATTTGGGTATTTCGGACACGCCAAAATTTGGCGTTTCTCTGGTACGCCACAGGAGTGCCGAAGTGTGCCATACTTGAGCCATAACTACCAAAGCAACGCCTAATTTCGGTATTTCGGCCTCGCCGAGTTTGGCTTTTCTCTGGACCACCGCAGTTGTGCCAAAGTAAGTGCCAGACTTGAGCCATAACTGCCGCAGTAAATCTTAATTTGTCGATTCGGGGCATGCCGAAGTTTGGCTTTTCTCTGGCTACCCACTGAAGCGCCAAATAAGTGCCAAAAGTGGCAAAGAAAGCCCAGAGGCCAGCCCAAGTTTCGAATATCTCTGGTGTGTCACAGAAGTGCTCTTTCACGCGTCCCAGAAGAGAAATAAATTAAATAAGCGCTGGAAACACGATGGTAAGATGTCATCACCTCCGTTCCCAAGCAGCACGGCAATACTTTGCAGTATCGTGCCAGTGCCGGCCGAAAGTCGGTTCCAATATCGCTCAACTGTCCAGTTTTGCACCACCGTTTGATAGCCGGCAGGTATTGCCGTACAGCTGTTTCGCCCCGGCCTAGCGTTCGCGCAATATTGTGCGAAAACTCTACGATGCGTCTGCTCCGTATTGGCCGAACGTCGTGCAAGTATGTGTACGTTGCATGTCATTTGTTGCATATCCAATCACTTATACGGACAAACAAATTTTTTTCGATCCCTCCCAGAAGTTTATTAAACAACTATCATTGCACACAGTGTATTCTCAACATATTTACAAAGGTCACACTTCTCTGTAAAATGAAAAGCAAATTATAAAATACAATTAACACTGTCCTCATGCCAAGCAAAACTCATCACACAAAAACCGCGGAGATTGAGAGGAAAGCAGGACGACTATCAGAATCATGCTTGCAGTGCACTTACTATTAAAAGAGCGATATCATGTAATCCTTGATAGATGCATAATCCAACTCAGGCACCCCACAAACACATTCGAGGATTCGAGGACTGACGTCTGGTCGTCGGCGAAGAGCAGTTTTTGTCGAAGCGTGTCCAACAAACACATCACAAGTATTCCACAAACTCCGGTGCAAAAAAAATGGCTTTTACCGAAAAATTGGCATGGACGTATTCCGACCGTTTACGACGAAAAAACACAGCCGCGTCTGCAACGCACGAAAGCAACAGAACACTGAAGAGCAGTTCGAAAACCGGACCTACGTGGCCCGCTTATTTCTATAACTAGGCGAACGGCGAAAACGACAGCCCCAGAGATCCCATCAGCGTGACAGAGAAGGTCACGTGAAAAATTTTCGTCCAAACGTTTTTGTCCTACGCGTCGTTCCGTAGAGAGGTCACGCTGGGTCACGCGTTTCGCTTCACCCTTTTGACTTGCTTAAAGCGGCTGTCGCGCTCGCTGACAGCCACACGAAGGCACAAAAGCAGGTGGGGAGGATTTGCAAAAGGCGAGGTCGAAGGGGAATCAACAACGCATAAAAGGAAAGGCCGCTTCTGCCGGTGACCTTGTCGCCTTGCCTAGTCTGTCAGCGTTCGGCTTCCATTGAGGGCCTCAGACAGATAATCTCCTTTCTTGAGAGCGAAATGAACGGGGTGGTTATGTTTTTCGGGCTTGTCGCCATCCGATAGGCCTCAATTATTTCTCTCCCCATTTGCTCGCAGTGGCCTCCCATGGCTGTCGTGCCGGTGAAATTAGGAGCGCAAAAATACTCCAGAAGCCGGGCGAAGACATGATAAATGTAATAACGAAAACGGCTTGACATAACAAAAATAACAATTTAATTAAACGTTTCGCCTCCCATGCGGGAGGCATCTTCAGTAGAGCGCAGCGCGAGTGAGAGTCGCACAAAAAAGTTCGACTATTTAGGCACAAAGTTTGTGTACACGTCCGGCAGGGCAGACATGTACAAATTACTCAAAAAAGGTAATTAAGTTAAGTTACTGAGTATCGACGCCAAAAGTAATTAGAGTAGAGTAGAAATTACGCATTTGCAATAGTAATTGAGTAAACTACTAACTACTGGAAAAAGTAGCGAGTTACTTTGAAGTTACTTTCGAAGTTACTTTTTTATATTGAACAGCAGTTTTGATCCGTGAATGAACAGCAGTTTTGATCCGTGAAAAACCCTGCGAGCCTAAAATAAATGCAGTCATCTTATGGCTTACTATTTCACCAAAATAGTTTATTCGCTCGCATCCTATCAAAAACTTTCAAAGCTCTTGATAGGAAAATTTTCCACTTTTCCTTTTAAAGACGTCCCCAGTCAAGCTGAAAAGACGTTCCACCGACGCGCTGGACGGAATGGCAGCGTTGAATTTGAGAAAGAGGTTGTGCGGGCCGGGTAAACGAGTGTCGGAATCTTAGGTGTCCATGACGAAACATCTGAGGTTTGCCTCGAATAGGTTGAGATTTTTATGACTGGCCCCTCCTAATTCCTTCGCCGTTCTGAGAGTAGGCTGAGCGAGTGTACCTGACCGTCAAGGGTTCAAGTCTCGCGCCACGACGATGAGATCATCCGGACGACTGCGCGTCTCGTTGCAATGCTAGTGTTACGCTACTGAAAAAAAAAATATTTTGGTTTAACAGAATATGAACCGAAGTATACTTCGCCGCTGACGCCGGGTCCAACAAAAGGATCTCCCAAGGGCAACTCACTATCCTCGCCGGCGACTATGGTATCCTGACGCGCCTGACATGCCCGACAAGTAAATCGTTTTCAACAAAGAGGAGGTCACCCTGGCATGGAAGGTCGGAAGGACGCGAAGGATTACGTGAACAAGCATCGTCGCCGCACAGTCGCGGCTGGAA